ACGATGACGATGACGGTGACGGTGACGATGACGATGACGATGATGATGATAATTAGATACAATTACAAAATGCAATTACAAGATACAATTTTGTTTATTATTAATTTTCCACAGTTCCTGCACAAACGGGTAAAGTTTGCGACAGGCTATGGAATCCAGCAAAATACAACTATGGGAGCGAATATTTTGTGAGCAAATGGTATCATGATTCAACCACTAAGTCCTGCAAAACCTTTGACTTCCTTGGATGTTATGCCAACGATAACAGCTTCAATAGTGAAAGCGAGTGCCGGGCATCGTGTGTGGGTATGTATGTCAACCCTTAGCTTACTTGTGATATTCTACTGATGATAATAATGATGATGATGCCATCGAAGATACTACTGCTACAGCTATTGTTGTTGGTAATGTTGAATGCTGGGTTGATGAATGGGTGATTATCACGATAAGTAAAGGAATTTTGGTGGTGAAGTGTACTGTTATCATTTCAAACCTTCATTTTCAAAAAAAATTTTTTTTTAATCAACAGAACCTGTTGCAACAAGTCCCCCACCACCTCCAACCTACCATCCTACTACACCTGACGGTAAGATTATGACTTTAATCAGTGGACGTGACAATGATGTCAGGTAATCAATAATGATATATATATATATATATTTTTGATAGAACCTGGTCTTTGTGTGGCACATGGTAGAGCGCACTTCAGTACGTTTGACCATACAGATTACGCTTTCTATGGCATTTGTTCGTACCTTCTTCTCTACATCAATGATCCTAACATCAACTTCCAAGTTATCCTTGACAACGATCCATCGTGCGACATAAACAGCAAATGCAAAAAGACAGTCAAGATTGATGTGGCGGGTAAAATCATCGAACTTTTGCCCAAAGTAGGCAACACTCAAATTGTAAAAATTAACAAGAACATCGTCAAACTTCCATACAAGCAGGAAATGCCAAGTATCAGAGAGGTAGGGTAATATTTGAATACTTTTTGACTCCATTTATAATTCTTGCTCATTTAGACACGATGTTGTCGCTAATCACAACCGCAAGTACAGCATAGTTAGCTCAGCGGGGGCGAACGGAAAGCACATACGATTATATATCTTACATACCGGCGTTTATCTTACAATTCATATTACGGTATAAATGCAAGGTAGCGGAAATTGAAGTCCCATCTGATTTTTGTCGTCCTAAGTAACATTTTTGAATACAAAGCTCGATTTTTTATAAGTAGGCCATTTTTGTCCTGAAAAAAACTGTTTGGCTGGTTAAAATTTCCAATGATTACCAATCCGGTGGTCATTTTTACTGGACATTTGTCCGACTTGCAGCCTTGTTGATGTATTGTAACTTTATTTTTAAACAGGTTGGCGACCACGTGATTGTGCAAACCAGTGATAATATCTTCATCTATTGGGATGGCTACGAGAACGTCATGATCAAGTTACCAGATTCCTACAAATCGACTGCTGCAGAGCAAAAAATTGCTGTAAAGGGTCTTTGTGGTAACTATGATGGTGACTCATCTAATGATCTTACTGGTTTGGACAACAAGCTTTACACAAAGAAGACCATCAATGATTTTGGAAAGTCATGGCTTCATGACACCTTGTGCACCAAAGAACCCTCGAAGCCACAGACATGTTTCACTTTACCAGGAGAATCGTACGAAGATGCCCTCAACCGAGCAGAGAGAATCTGTGAAACAATTAATTCAGCGCCTTTCCAACCATGCCATCCTAAGCTATCGAGTAAAGAATTCAAGTATATGTGTATCGCAGACGTCTGCGCGTGTAATACTACAGCCCGAAGTGACTGCCCCTGCAATGCGTTGGCGATGTACTCTCGAGCATGCGCATGGAGCCATAATACCACCCTAGCCTGGAGAAGTCCCTCTCTATGCCGTAAGTAGTTAAATGACTTTATTAATTAAACCAATGTCCACTTACCTAACGAGATATCATTAAAAAAGTCATCTTTTTTAAAACCCCTTTTTCAAAAAAAAAAAAAAAAAAAAARAAAAGAAAAGAAGAAAAAGGTAAAATCCAGCTTTCGGATATAATGTAATAGACTCGTTTTATTAAGAGTAAATGGTTTTGAACCCAGGTGTTGAAGTTTGTTGTGAAGTGTGATCGTCCGGGTGAGTGTATTCTTGAGAAAGACTGTTACTGTTATAATGACTGTCGTTTCGACAATCTGAGCGAAAGTCATCTTCAGAAACAGAAACAGAAATAAAACAAAAAAAACTCATTTACTCTATGGTCTCTTCCACTGTGGTATCGCGTAATCATTATATTTCTTTAAATATATAGCAAAACTGATCATAATTGCTACTATGCTTGTTACTATAGAAGGCATATTTGCGAATGATGGCGTTATTATCCATCTGTCTTTGTTTAAACTCAAACAATAATGCCATATGTTTTGGTCTCATTTTTTAGCTGTCACATGTCCAACGGGTATGGTGCACAGCGAGTGCGGATCGGCTTGCCCATTGGAATGCACCAACTTGAACAATGACCCCTCAAAATGCCAATCCAAATGTCTGGATGGTTGTCATTGTCCTACTGGAGAATACTTCGATAATGGAAAATGTGTTGCTAAAAGCAAGTGTTCCTGTCACCATTCAAACATCCGTTATCCACACGGTTCTATCCGTCAAAGTGAATGCGAAAACTGGTAAGAGATGAATAATCTATACAGCAGAGTAGTAAGTAATGTAAGGATGATGGCGACCCATCCCCACTTCCGTCACCCTTCTGGCTCCTGATTGGGTGATCCATCACCCCATTTACTTCCGTTTCCGGTGATTTGCCATGGCAACGTGAATATATGAATATTTAATTTGTGCATAAATTAAAGTGACCCTATACATAGACATTACTTACTACTCAGCAGTCTATTTCGCTTCAATTGAAGCCATTCATAGTTCCGACTCAGACAACAGCAAACCAATCACCGCTGCAGCAATTTTCTCAGTGGAACTGAAATCTTGTCTCACAAACGACTACACAGTTTTAAAGAGTACTAAACTTTAAAAGAGTTTTAAAAAGGATTCCGAGATCAGTATTCGAGCAAATTTGTTTAGCTTTTGGGACATGTCAACGGTGTCTAAGGGGAGTCGGAACTATAAAATGATAAGTATTAATAAAATAACCTAAAATTTCAGATCATTTTAACGATAAATAGTATAAAATCATTTTACAAAGTTACTAGTTATTCAAAGGGGCTCATTTGATGTACGTATTATAGGCCTAACGGCCCTGGTTCGTGTATTCAAAACCTCGGAAACAGCCTTCCCTATCCGACCTTTAGGCCCGTAAACAACTCCTATTTATCATGAAAAAAACTCATTTCTAAACAACACAGCAATATGTTAAGCTTCCCCAGTTCTTGACAGTTTATTTATTTTTATTTCATAGTACTTGTAACGGTGGACAATGGAATTGTCAAAAGATTCCTTGTAAAGGTTTGTATATTATAGAGAAAAAAATATATTAAAAAAAAAACTAATGGAAGATGACAAATCTTCTCGTATTCATATTCCTTATCATAAAAAAAGTATACTTATTATATAGCTACAGTGAAGCTGTTTTTTACAATCCTCAGAAGTATAACAGCAGTAAGACAACTGATTTATATAGTTTGTTTTTAGATTCGATTGCTCTACTACTTATTGTTTTAGTTTTAGTCTAATCCTCGACGTTTTTATGACTGAGAAAAAGCAGTGAAAATACAACTCTACTGCTATTTATCTTTGTATTACTAACATGCAAAAAGTACGTCTTGTTTTGTTCTAGTTTGTTTATTAACTTTAGGTTTAATGAGAGTGTCATTCCCCGAATGTACTCATGTTTATTTGATGTTTTTATCATAGGAACTTGTTCTGTTCTTGGAGATCCACACATTAATACCTTTGATGGCAGGTCATACAATATGCATGGCAGGTGTGCATATGTCTTGTCTGAACACTGTCACTACAGCGCCGCAGAAACCAAGAAATTTTCTATCGTTTTGAAAACCGTCAACTGTCAGTCTGATGCTGCCTGCTCTCGCCAGCTCATCATAAACATTACTGGTGCAGCGCTTATTACATTGGGTAGTACAAAGAGTGGTAACAATTTCTTGCCAACAATTACAGTCGAAAATGGTAACCCCAAAACGTACTACTCCAAACTGGTTGACATCGAACATGTTGGCCAGCAGACCGTGCAAGTACATGCAGTTATCGGGTTCATGTTGACCTGGACCGGTTACAATGCTTATCTGACAGTTAAACCTGGTCTTGAGGGTCAGACTTGTGGTCTTTGCGGAACCTTTAACCACAATGCCGGAGATGACTTCCACACACGTGATGGAGACACAGAAGTCACAGCTATTGCTTTCTCCAAGGAATGGATGTTGCCTGACAGCGCACAAGTTGATCCAAACTGCCACAGAACCAACTGGGCAAACCTCGACAACCCGTGCAGTTTGTACAGCAGCTATCGAACATATGCCAATGACAGCTGTAGCCACATTAACGACGTAAACGGCATCTTCAAGCACTGCCACCGTTACATTCCACCAAATGATTACTTTCAAAAGTGTTTGGGTGATGGTTGCAAGTGCAAGGATTGTCTCTGTGAAGTCGTCTCCGCATATGCCAGAGCTTGTGCCGAGAAGAACATCATTGTTAACGGATGGAGAAATATAATCACTGACTGTGCTTCCAGTAAGTGAAGCGGTTTTGATTTTTACACCTTAAATTAATAATTAGGCTTAGGTCAAAGCAGCTTTGATTTAGTCAGCATGGGTTTTGATACCCGGCTCCCACCCCTTGAAAATGTAATCTCCAAATATCGTCAGAAATGGAGGTCGATTTGCAGAAACAATTGAACTGTCTGTTTTGTCTGCTATTCCGGCATAGCTATTTATAAACATAGTCACTACAGACACACAGTATGATCGAGTATTTGAACAAGCACATGAGGGATGGATGGGTTAGTTTGCCGCTTTCCACAACCAAATCTAATGAAGTATTTATCACTGAATAGTCCCTTTCACAGTTCCCTGCGTCATCTTGAAAAGCAGCCGTGCCTTTGCATCGAGTCGAGACGAACGGTGAGCTTGCAATGATAGACACCTTGGACAATTATTCACATGTCTCTATCATTGCAAGCTCACCGTTCGTCTCTATTCGATGCAAAGGCACGGCTACCATTCAAGATAGCACATGGAACTTTGAAGAGGACCGTTAACTAACTCACGATGTCATGCGTCGTGTTTTGTGTTATCTTGATTACAGACTCATTTGCTCAGGCTAAGCCTCGAATCAGTGTCTAAATATTCACAAATACCAACGGTAAAGTAAAAAATACACAAGTTCAACAATACGAACACTTTGAAACTTGACGGACCTTGACTGGAACACGTAAATATTCTTCACAAAATCGAGGCTTAGCCTGAGTAAATGAGTCTGTAATCAAGAAACACAGCGGTAATTTGGAACTCGAAAAGGGTCTATTCGCACCCTAACCCCTTTAACGTGATAAAGAGTGCTCATCATAGCAGGGATGTTATCACCTCATAGTTTATATATCATAGCTATTGTTTCAGTTGAACGCCCAATGATGCAAAACCAATGAATGAGTGTTCTATATTGATTTTCTGAATTAATTTTTCTGCAGAATTTAAGTGCGAAGCAGGAAAAGTTCTCAAACAGTGTAATAAAGATCCAGCCACCAATCAACCTATTTGCCCTCTGACATGTAACGACTTGTCAAAGGTTTCTCAGACCTGCAGCAGGTAATAATGAATAAATGTTCCCTCAAATAGGTTTTAACGTTAAGAGTCATGGTCGTGTCAAGGGGTCAAAACCCCAAAAGGAAACTGCGAAAATTTGTATTTTTTTAGAATTTAGAAAAGCAACAATAGTCAATTATTTGTATATATTATAGAATAAACACTGGCTTATAAAATGTTTGAAAGCCAGAGCTGTATATTCAGCTGCAGATTAAAATTACTCCAAATTCTTGTTGTTCAAGCTATGACGTGAAAGTGAACTAGGGCAATTGATTTCAAAGAAGTTTGCTAAACTATGAAATGATACAAAATCAAAAAAAGGAAACACTAACCAATTAATTCTCACGAGATTAAAATGTTTCGCAATAGATCTATTTAACGATCAATGGCTCAAATGTCCCTTATTTACTTTATCCCATTTGATTTCAGTCTTTTGACCTAAAGTTTAGTTTTACTAAATATTTAGTATATTATAGTATTCTATATATAACAAATAATTATTTTTCCCCAGCCGCGGATGCGTTGAGGCATGCTACTGTTCCACGCCAGGCCATTACTTGAACAACGAGCACAAATGTGTCCCTAAGACTGAATGTCCATGCTACCATAACGACAAGGTGTACAGATATCAAGAAGTACGCAAAGAGGGTTGCAATAACTGGTAAGAGATTTTAATAGTATCCTTCGATGGCACGTCGTCGCGGCCTCTCGGGAGAGCGTTATTCTCATTAGCATCCATTGTTAACAGCACCAAGATGGCCGCCATGTTTTTGTCTTTTGACTCTTGGGAATGCTTGCAACCCATCAATACTAAGAAAATATTGGCGTTTAAGTTGCGGTTATTGCGTTTTCTTTGAAAGTCAAAAACTTTTTGATAAGACTTCCCAATTAATAAGATTGTCATAAATATTGTTTTTGATTACTCGAAGTGAGCGCTTTATGAGATAAATTCCTTGTCGCGCTTCTTCTGACACCGTGTATGCTGCCAATACTGTTCAGTGCTATACAACTATACACGTCAAGCGAGCGCTTACTATTTCTTCAATATAAAGCTGTTTGACTTCACGGCTTTGGTGCAAGAAAGCTACTGCGGACACTGTCTGCAGATGACTTTAGAATGGATCAAGAAAAGGTCGAGAAACGCTCTCGAAAATTATCCCAGAATATACGTGCTAAAATACGTACATGTTCAAATTTTTACTTTTGTCTTAAATATCATTAATTAGCATTAAATTCGATCGTGGTTTTAATTTTACAGCACTTGTGTTGGTGGCTCCTTCGAGTGCACAAACGTCAACTGTGAATGTAAGTCAAAGCATGCCAGATTTCTAGTTTTATAGGAACGTCCCAATTTCAACCATGCCAGATTTCTAGTTTTATAGGAAAACCCCAATTTCAACCATACCAGATTTCTAGTTATATAGGAAAACCCCAATTTCAACCAAGCCAGATTTCTAGTTTTATAAAAAAAAAACAATTTCAACCATGCCAGATTTCTAGTTTTATATGAAAACCCCAATTTCAACCATGCCAGCTAGTTTTTTTTTTAAAACAGGAAAGACTACTAAAAATTAGTTGAACTCAGTACTGGAAATATTTAAAAAAAACCCCTGTAGATTATATTATTTAGCTTCAAAAACACTTGTCTCACTTTGAAGCATACCAGTCTTTGAAACCATTATTAGTGTCGGCCTTAGGATCGTGAGATCCTGGAACCGACACTCATGACGTATGCGAGCGAAGGAGACTTGATGTATGTTAAGAAAATATTTTGATTAATAGATGAATTGTTTTGGTTGCAGCTATGTGCCAGGCCAAGGGATTGGTCTATAGCGAGTGCGGAAAAACATGCAAAAACCTTAACGAGCCTTCGAATTGCCAAGCTGGTTGCTTTTGTGCTGCTGGACTTGTTATGCACGAGAATGGAACTTGCCTCCCTGTCGATCAATGTCAGTGTACACACAACTCTAAGTTCTTCGACAAAGGAGCTGTATCGCCAATAGACTGTTCAAGGTGCAGTAACATGTCTTCATAAGAATTCATAGAAACAAACAAACAAAATTTACGGTCATCCAACAGACCCACTAAGCATTTTTACGTCATTGGTAAACATTAATACCATGATAAGATTTGATACKCTTAATCMTTTATGTTCCTCTAAAATGGTTAATGGTGACACTAGAGAAAAACGTTTGCCCATGCATGCCTTTCAGCACGTTTTCTAAGAATTTAGAAGAATTTAAGTTAGAAAATAAATGTTCGTTTTCTCCGAGTATACAAAACATTTCGCGAGCATACATTTGTGAGACCAAGGTACTGTATTAATAAAGACAATATGAAATAAGTAGCCTTAAATTTCAAGCATTGACACTACGTTTGGGCATTTTGTGAAGTCCATTAGTCAGCCATGTTTAAAATTGAAATTTACATATTTTTAATTACAATAACATAATTAAAAAAAAAAAAAAAAAAAAGATAAAAGACTTTTTTTCGGTAACAACAACGAAGCGGCTGGCCGCCATTTTGGATTATCGCTGGAGGTGATTATCGTGTAATAGTCTGAGTTTCTCGACCAAGCATGCGCAGACGATTTTCACTTGTGTCGTTAATTCTTGTTGTCTTCTGAAACCGTATTCCTTCCCATGCACTACATGAAAACTCAATTTAGATTTGTATTATTGTTGTTCTTATTAGACGCTGTGATGGTAAGAGGAATTGGGCACAAACACCTGGTATCCAATCTCAGCCTGAGTACGAGTGTTCGTCTTTCGGTCAGGGACACATTGAAACATTCGATGGAATGCTCTACAACTTCGACAACGCAGGATGCAGGTTAGTAAAGCTGCCCAGTTGATAGCATTGAAGTTAGGAGTGATAACTAGGGCTGGACCTAAAATTAAATGTAAAGTTCGTATCGGGTTTGGTATAGCAGCCAGTCAAGCACGACTATTCAATTGCATTCATAGCTATTTTTTCTTAGCTATTTTTTCTTTTCTAAGCGGTCAAAATTTCCGTATAAACATATTTAATTTTTGTAATTAATATTTGTTTCAAATTTGCTTCGTTTTTCGAGAAGAAATTAACCATTTTGAAACTTTCCACCTTTGTTGATCAAGATATGGTCTTTCACTTGGTCACGCAATAACTCCTTCCCAACTTCAGGGTACGCTGTTTTCCATAGGCTTTCTTTCATATCAAAATGTATTGTATTGTTTCTGTTTTAGCTACAAAATGGTGGATCATGCAGATTTCGGCTTAGTGGTGAAAAAGAAGAAGTGTGTGAACTCTTTCGAGCTTCAAATGTGCAAGGAAGTCACCATTTCTTTACCAAAAGATAATGTTGAAATAGTTTTAATGCAGAAAACGTTCACCATCAAGCGGAATAATGTACCTTCAACTTACAATCCAGGAGAATATCCGCCTCCTTGTAAACCTGTTATGGAAGGTAACATCGATAGCATCGAAATCTTCCAAGTAGGTCTGTTCCTTATTGTGCGAATCGTTGACAAGATGAATCCAAAGCTCACTAAATTTGAGGTAAGTTTGAGTTCTTTTGATTTGCTTATAAAAATCATACATCTGTGGGCGAGGCTAGCAAAAGACGTCGAATATTTCAATAGCGAAAATGTCACGAAATAAGAATACCATTCCTAGTCAATATTTTTTCACTCTTCTTAAAGATACGCCCCCCCCCCCCCCCCACACACACACAACACCTCAAAAAAGAAAAAAGAATCATGGAGGAAGACAGGATTTTTAGCTACTGTGTGTAGTAATAAAAATTATAGTGCTTTTCACTAGGGTCCTAAAACAATATCAATATAAATATGTAAAAAAAAAAAAAGAATTAAAAAACTATAAATCTATATAGTGATAAGTTGATAAAAATAAAAGAAAAATCTAGTCTAATCTAATTTTTTAAAAAAAAGGATAAATGACCTTAGACCCTAATCCTTAACTTAGTCTTAACACAAGTTAAGAAGTTAAAGAACAAGCTAGAAAAAGAGAAACAAGATACGACTGTTTAACTAGAAGAAATCCGTCTCTTTTCTTATAATAACGACTGTTACTTCTGAACTCTATTCCGTCATTTAGATCAGGTTTGATCAAGGAACTCGAGTCTATGTCACAGCCAATCCAATTTACAAAAATCAGCTCAAGGGTCTTTGTGGAAATTTTGACGGTAGCAAGTCAGGTGAAAGGCTCTCGTCAACTGGGTTCATAGCAAGTTCTGTTCCAGAATTTGTAAACTCGTGGAAGACCGGTGATGATTGTGAAAATTCGAAGCAAATATCGCCTTGTGATTTGTATCCAGACAGATCTGCCTGGGCCCAAAAAGGTAGGAACGTATATTATTATATAATTACCAATGAAATATCTATTTTTATTATATAATTACCAATGAAATATCTATTT